AAACATTTTTATCAAGTAATTTTTTCTCTTTTTATTTATTCAATCTTAACTGGGCTTAGATTTGCCAGGATAAGCTTCCTAATCGACGTGTTAACGGACCTGTCCGAAGCCAAGAGGGAGCTGCTGCTGGCCGGCCAGCGTCTGCTGCCGGGACAGGATGAGCGGGATGGAGGAGGAGTTCTGCTGCCCCCCCAGGCTGCAGCGCCCTTTGGACCGGGACCAGGACTCTGAGAGCAGGGCAGACACACCGTTAGTCAGCGTTACAGGCAGGGAAACAAAAAAAGAGAACAATTCAATTCAATTCAATTTTATTTATATAGCGCCACATCACAACAACAGTTGTCTCACAGCGCTTTCCAAACAGAGCAGGTCAGACCCTACTCTGAAGTTAATTACAGAAACCCAACAATTCAAGATGGCAGACGTATTCTGCAACGCTGCGACCTGAAAACCGAAGACGGTGAAACAGAACCTCAAACAGAGAAACACGCCAGGGGGGAAGAACGGCTTCAAAGAGTCATCAAAGCTCTGTGGAGCTCCATCAGAAGCAACAATAACCAGGAAGGGTGGAAACACTCAGAAAGGCATCGAGGGGGAAAAGTTGCCCCCCGGACTCTGGATCTGTGTTAAGCCAGGGAGCAACTTTTCTGCTCGATGAGAACCGGCAGAGAGCTCAAAAACATGATCTGGTCTAATACCAAATGCATCCAGCTTTCCCTCCAACAGGCTGTGGCTTCTTTTCGACAAACAAACTGAGAATTGCGTGGAACGTTTTTGAAAAATCCTTTTTAAACACGTTAAGATACTTTGAATGGAGAGAAAGGCTTAAAAAAGACCAGTGGTGAGACTGGCCTCCTGTGGATGCATCATGAGGTTTAAACCAGAGTGAGACTCTCTGCTGGTGTCTCCTGGTCACCTGCTGAAGCCTCTACAGCCCACCAGGGGGCAGTGTGCCCCCACAGCTCCCACAAGACCTGCAGGGCAGACACCACCACAGCAGTATGACCGACCGTGTGACAGACGCTGAGCTAAGTCACATCTATGGCTACTTGGGTTGTCAAAAGTACAGATACGCAAAAAAGTATCGACACTAAAACGTTGTATCCGGATACGATACTCATTTTCAAAAGTATCGACACCAGCAACGCTGACCCTTCTCTCTGATTTATTTA